GAGTTGAGCAGGGCCGGGACAGCCGGGGGCGTGCGGGGACACGGCCGGTGTGGCAGGGCAGGTCTCGGTGCCCACCTCATCTCGGGAGCCCTCTGAGTTTGTGCTCAGTCACAGGAGTGGATTTGGTGACATATTTCCAGGAGGAGAACGGTGTAGAGGCCTTGGGCCTTCTCTGGGGTAATTTACCCGGCGCTGGCAGCTGCGTTCAACGGAGATGACTTCAGGCTGGCGTAAGCGCACCAAAGGGCTGCTAATCCAGCCCAGCAGACTGAAGTGCTTTCCTTCGAAAGGATGCCAGCAAGAACGAGGTTTGTTTTACTTAGTGAAGCAAAAGCTGAGGGGGTATATGGTTACTTTCCTGCGTATTTATAGCAAGCAAACACGAGCTATTTCAGCTGGAGGACAGCGTTTGCCTGATGGCAGATAGACCGAACGTAGGCAGGAGGAGGTCTCAGCTGGGAGTTAAGTTTCTAATCAGCAGAGGAGGAGAAGAGCAGCCAAAATGTGTCTTATGCTGAAGCGAGGGCTTGACTAGCTTGCATAAGGGATTGGGTCTGAGCCGAATTGGGTCTGAGAGACCCCTCAGCCCCGTGTTTCTGTGTGATCCACGAGCCCGCGTTTGCATCTGCAGGGCGATGCTGCTGCTGCAGCTCGAGCAGAGCCACGCGCCGTTGCCTTTAAGCATTCGAAGCACGCGTAGGGGAGTCCGGGGATGTTTGCTCGTTAGCTTGCCAAACAAACGAGCGGGAATAACGTATGCAGATCAATGAAACGCTGGATGAAAACGTTGCCGAGAGCGAGCGAAAGCTAATGGGGTGGGGGGGGGGAAACGCAAGCCTGAACTGACCAGACGGGCGTGGGGGGAGATGCGCCTGCCAAGCGAGCGCGCGGTTTTGGGCAATGCCACCGATGGATTTCATTGAAGTAGCGCTGAAAAGGAAGCCGGAAGCTCAGGGAAGAGGTTTTGAATCACTTGGACTTTGGTAGCCAATCTCCATGCAAATCACGCTGGCAGCATCCCGGCCGCCTACGTGGGCGTGCGTACCTGACACAGGTTGCGTCCCTGCGGAGGCGCAGGATGCGGGCGAGACCCTGCGTGGTGCTGACGTGTCCGCTGGGTACCCGAGTGCCGCGTCCAGCTTTTGGAGGTGGCGTCGCGTCATCTGGTTTACGTAGCTATGGAAACTCTGGAAAGTTTGCAATGGTTGGTGCCTCCTTGGGACGGTGTGGACGTGCCCTGCGGTGGCAGAAATGTGGGCTGCGCGCAAGGGGCAGGGAGGTCCTCTCTGTCCCTGTAGCTGATGTGTATATATAGCATATACAATGTCATAAACAATATTTACAGTGCGGGATCTTCTTAAGCTGCTGTCTTAATCCCAACGCTCTGTCCTGCCATAGGCTGTTTTCTCTTCTGCCCAAAGTCAGTGCTAGTGCTGACTGACTGCGCGTGGCAGCTTGCATGAGAAGGGGAGTAATGGGTTTTAATTTTTTACCCCAAACGGGGCAGTGGTTCAGGCTTATGGAGAGATGAGACTGCTGTTGGCGTGAGCGGAGGCTTTACTGAACGTACTGCATGTGAACGTAACGTGGGATTCCCCCCACCCAAAACATAACGGCAGTCCACGCGATCGTCCTCCTTTTGGGGCCCACCTAAAAGTTTCTCAGCAGCTCGGCACGTCCACTTGCCTAACCGTTGGCAGTTTTTCTAACGCAAAGCTAACGCCGTTAAGCCCAGCAGAGCGATGTAGTTGCCTGCAGGTTTATGCAGTCTCTCTCTCTCCAGCTACCTGAAGACCTATTTCGGTACGTGATACTTCTAACAAACTCTTAATACCCGAGAGGGCCGTGTAGCACACGTATCATCTGTGTTATCCAGGCTATAGACCTAAGCCTGCAGTTTGCTCCGGCTGAGGACGGCCAAGGGGAGATGCAAAGCTGGGCTAAAAGGCGCTACTGCTGGGGGACGCTGTGATTTCCCTTTTAGGCCTGCGGGGACAGGTCCGAGGTCTTTGTCGTCTCCGGCGTTGCTTGTTGCAGGTCACGAGGCTTGAGAGGAGATAGTTGCCGTACAGGCTAAATTTAAGCAGGCCCTTTTATTGCCCTATGTGGAAAGGTCTCGGAGCGCAAAGCCAGGTAGCGGGTCACCCCCGAGCGCTCCCTGGGGTCCGTCCGCCTGCGCCGCATGGAGCTGCGGTGCCGCGGGGCGCAGCGCGGACCCACCGCAGGGGGGAACGATGCTGGAGGAGCAGGCCCGGGGCTGGGGGGCATCGCGCGGCCTCCTCCCTTTTCGGTGTCTTCCCTGAAGATTTCCCTACTGAAGAGCAGTGTGTGTGTGTTGGG